CAAAGTGGGAATTATGATTTTTTTTATAAGGCAGCCAAAATCACAATGTGCTCTTAAACAATGAGGTGCAGTTTGTGTAATATTAATATCAGCAACAATAATAATGCTAATACACAGCTTGGGCAAACATTACATGCCTCATTTTGAACTACCAAATATGAGGAGTGGGCGCATCTATTGCTGTAACATATTCTGGTTTTTGATAACTGTCAAATATTCTGTTCTCATTTATTCTTGAGTACTTTCTGATCTTCAGCTGAACTGGCTGCTACACATTTTATTAGGTTAACATATTCCATCTTTTGTTGAAGCAATAAGTTTTCACATTTATGACTACTTTTTTTTAATTCAGCTGAAACATTGGGGGGAACTGCTAGTAAATGCATTTCATGTGTACTGATCCTGTCTTCAGAAAGTTGTGTGCTACAACGAGCTCTCTTCTAGGAAGTTACCAGTGCTAACTAACAAAAACTATATTCTTTGTATATAAAATATTCCAAGTTCATTTCCTGCATCCTCAAGAAGGACCAGTAAAGATCCTTATCTAAAATCCTAATGATTAGCTAGCTAATGGTAGTGTTGAAGGAAAAGTCTTCATCAGGGTCCAGTCTAAGCTGGGAATAAACAACATAGCGACTGCTTTAGAAAGAAGGTTGCAGTTTATTGAAGAGGAGAGTCAGACAGAAAGTTGGCTCTGGAAGAAAAGAGAGCCCACATGTAGTAGGGAGTGGGTTTTAGACCCTCTTGGGCTTTTGTTTGGAGTTGTTTCCTGTTCCTGTTTGAGGCTTTGTATTTCCTGTATTTCCTATGTACTTTGACCTGAGTCTAAGTGTGCCCCTTTGGCCTCTATGGATTAATCCTATTATGTCCTGTCTTAGAGTTTGGGTGGGGTATGTAGATTTTAGGTGTCTTTGTCTTCCTAAGCTTCTAGCTGGAGGTTCCAGCCTTCCTGAATGGATTATTACATCTGCATTTCTACAGAGCTGGTTTCTGCTTGGGGAGACTTGGGGCTATTAAGAAAAACTGGGCATGCTTTTCTGCCTCTTTCTGCCTTGGAGGAAATATAATATTCTTTTAATATTTTCTTCTGGGGGGGGCTGACGTCCCACAGTAGCAAATCAAATCTATACATTTAGTTTACAGTGTGCTGTGAAAATTGGTTTAATTGAATAAAATATGATTAGGTTAACAGTGAGTATGTCATGTGACTACATGTTATACTTACCTATGACAAATTTAACCACAATTTATAGAATCAGTTTTCTATGATGGTAAAATATACTGAACCATAAGCTACTTGCATAAGCTGAATTCATATATCATATTAGATTATAACATGAATTGTTTGGTTTTAGGATAATATAGTACATGAATAAGAATTAGGGTATATTCAAAACATGGTTAAACATTTTTTTAAAAAGGTATATGAACCCAGCCGCAGTACATACTATATTGATAGAGTTTACAATTTGCTATGACATATTTCAAATTATTACATGTTTGATACACGTAAGATAGAACTATCTACATAATTTGTTCTTTTATGAATTGCGGAATAGAATGTTGCACTTCTTTTGTCAAAGTAATTTATAAGTGTTTATGGTAAACTCCAAATATTCATAAAGCTCTGGAAGAGGTTTGGTTTTTTCCCCCATTTAAGTAGTCAGATCCGATCCTTTATGGTATTGGGACAGTTCATGTTTATTTAACACATTCTGTTAACAATAGATGGGGAAAGTCACTAAGTTGTTTTGCAATTTGTTTTGCCCTGAATTATTCGAACTCCAAAGGGATGATAGAAGATGTGAATGCAGCTTCCAAGATTAAAACAAATGCTTTGCCTTCAGGCCCCTTCCCAGTTCTCATTGTTCTCATACCACCTATTAATGAACTCCAACAACTTAATGTGGGGTGTTTTTTGATGCGGAAGAGTAAGTAGTGGAATAAATAGAAGGAGTGGCTTTGGCAGCTGTATTGTAGCTCTTGCTTCAAAAGCAGAAAAATATCTAGTCTACAAGTAATGAAACAGAGATGTAAATAAGCAATTTATTGTATAGTAAGTTTCATTTCAAAATAGTTTTACACAGAATCCACGTGGCTGTTGAATATGCTTCCTTGATGTCAACGAGGCTCAATATTGCTAATAATATAGATAATTTGGGAAACAGTAGCAGATGGGGGCAAGAATATATGAACATTTCCATCTGTTGCTTTCTTTTTTTCCAGGACTGATGCAATTCTTAAGATTTCAGGGGCAGATTAGGAATTTTACTAGACATGGAAAATAGGAATCTGATGTATTCATTGTAACTACCCCTAAAATGAGATGAAGCATCTCAGGAAAGATTGTTGCAACACAGTTGGGAGGACTGTACAATAGCAGCATCCCCAAAGCTTGTCTCTTTAACCCTTCTTCACAAATATGGCTTAACAACTTTGCACTTGAAGAAGAGTGATCCTTGCAATAGTACACAAAATTGCCATTCTGCCTCTTCCGTCCCAAAATTAGGACTGATGCAAGGCATAAAACCTGATTGGACAGGTCTCACCGAGTAAAACTTTCCTTTCTTTTCAAGCCAGGTCTCAGTGACACACGCCAGGTCTGCCCTCTTGTCCTTGAGTAAATCATGAAGTTTTATTGCAGTCAGATCTGGCATTCAAAAGCATCAACCTTTGCCCAGTTGTTCAGCTGCCTGGATCTTGAGGTGAGACTGGAGAGCCAGCAACAGGCTGGCAGTGAATTTGTAGTCTCTTTTCCTCTGCCATTTCTCATTGTATTTTTCCCTGTTCGTCACTAGTGTTACCCTTCCTTCCATTTTTCCTTCCCCTTAAATAATGACCTTTCACCTCCCTTGGCCTTCTTTCACCAGTACTATTTTTTTCAACATCCAGAATCAAGAAAGCTGAAATGGGGAAGAGATTTTAAGTTCACTTCCTGACTGACCATGTTCCAGTAATCATTATTTACTGTTGGTCCTCTCCTTTTACAGTCCCCTACTTAAGAACAGATTACATTCTGAGAGGCTGTTGGTTTTGTTCGCAAATTCAACAAGCTTAAAAATATGCACATTGCAGTTCTTGCCTTGCATGGGTGGTGGTCTAGGAGGCCTTAGGTATGTGGCGTGCTAGAAACTGGCCATTTCCTACTTTCTCCCAAATTCCTATCTTCTCTCACTGCTGCCAGTGAGTTTGCTGGGCCTGGTATGTGGTGGCTTGTGTGGGGTGATAACTTCGCTGTGGCTCATAGGATCGGGAAAGATAAGGAGAAGGTTGTTTCTGGTGTGCTGCATATATATGGAATGCACGCAAAGCTGATTCCCCCCCCCCTTTTCTCTGACTTTCTGGGTGTGAACAGTTTTGTTTGTTTCAGTAAAAATTTGCAACTCAAACGCTCCTAGTAGAGTAATGTCTGAATTTAAATTAGTGAAAGTGGAAAATAGATTGACAATGAGAGTTCATAGGAATAACTTTTTTCTACTTGTACTGCAGAGTGAATAAGACCCAATGTGATTCAGCAAAGGCTAATTTTGACTTCTTCCACATCGCATTACAGGAGACTGTCTTTCAAAATGATCAGGATCCCACTGTTGAGCTATAATGAGTCACACATATGCAGTAGTTGGTATTGCTAATAATGGTGGGTGGGTGGTTATTCTGTACCTGGGGAACCCCCCAACGCCATATAATCCTCTGCACTCATTTCTTTTCCAATCCACAAGTATTCTGCTCATTACCAGAACAATATTTATAGCTATGAAGTCAGAAACTGCAAGTAGGGGTGAAAAGTCAAATGAAATTATATAAAAAGTTTCAATAGCAAGAGGTGAGTGAGTGCAAAATTGTGTCTACTGCCATAAATGAGTAAACAGCATATGACTCTGAAAGAAGACCAGCCTTCGGGTCCAAGATCTGCTTTTTTCCAGCCTTTCTGTTTTACCATTGCAAAATGAATAAGCATTCATAATCTGGCTCCAGGTGGCAAAAGAAAACCAAAATGGACTTTGAATGCAAAACCTATTCTTTCTAAAGCAGCCTAGGCCCTAGCATAGACAATTGATGTATTTTAGATCAGTTGGATCAATTTACATTATTTGCATAGCTAGGTAATTGACAGCTTTATGTCATATGCTGCAATTTATTTCATAATACATAGGATATAAAATGTCAATTGTGTAATTACATAAATAACTTAAATCAACACTGATGATGTAAATTTGGGTTTAACTGACATTTAGATTTAACAGGCACTCCTTTCTCCCAAATTGCCTACTAAATCAAAGTAAGTTATATTGACTGCTTCTTGAACTTTGAATTTACTATCAAGACAAATTTAAGAACCAATTCATATGGCAGCAAGAAAAAGCACAGCATTTAGCGTAATTTTAGTTTCCTGGGATATTTATTTTTATTTTTGGCTATTTTTTTTTTCTTACAGACCAGAAAGGTAATTGAAAGATAATTCAATTATCTGAAAGATAATTCAGATGTCCTTATTGCCTGCAACTCTGCTTTCTGCATGCAAAGCGTAAGGAATAAATGGGAACCTATACCCTGCTCTTATAGAAACATTTATATATGGCTATTGGCATACAGCTGATAAACTGGGATCTGTGACCAAGCCACATAAAGTGCTTCTTTTGGTCAGCTTCCTTGGTAATACTATATGAAGTAGCTCTCAGCTAGCAGTGAAAAAATTTCAGTTTGAAAGAGACTCCAGAACAGAGGCAGCACTCAGAACTGGATTTCAAAGCAGAAATGTGAATCCCTCATTCCACCTTAAAAAGATGACACACACATACACACCCTGCATGAAAATAAAATATATTGCAGTTTTGAAGCAGTAAGAAATGTGATGCTCGCCAAATGTTGTTGAACTACAGCTCTCAATTTGCCTTGCTATTAGGGTTGCTGGGAGAAAGCCTTTGCTTTCCTATCCCTGTTGCATGAGTCCTTACTGCAGCAATACACATCTGATTCATTCTCAGTCTCTTTTATTTCAGCTATGCATTGAATTCATCAAAGACACACTAAAAGTGAACCAAGCAGGTGACGCCTTTCAGGTAAGTTGTAATATTCCTAGGCTTGCCCATATAGCAGTCCCTGAATCTCTTTAAGGATAGAAGCAGGAGATCTTTCCCAGACAACCAATGCTACAGACATTGGCAGCTGTCTAATTCCATGCAGATTCCTTGTTGTTAGGCTGAATTCAAAGACATGCAATGCCTTAATTGGTAAAAACACCTGAAATCATGTCAACTGTAGACAGACAGCAGTGGTAGAACTCGTCATCACAGACTACATATATTAAGCAATTGGTATGGAAAGACTAGCACTAGTCTTGCACTTGCAGTTAATCACCTTTTCTGATACCCGTGATGAGTAAGCATTGCCTCTATCCTACCAGTTGGATGGAGAAAGAGAATAATGTTGAAATGTGTTGATACGTAGATTAGCAGACAAGCAAATAAGCAAATACTGTTGAAAGGAAAAATGCTGTAAGAGAGATTTGTTCACCTAATAGTAAGGTCATAAGGTATGAAGGTTTTTATACATAGTAACTAGAGCTTGAATTGCTCCCAGAATTCAACTATCTGACAACTACTACAGCTCACAAAACAGGGAATGCCATGGCATGGCCAATACTATTTGTGTCATTGCATTCTGGACCAGCCACAGCTTCCAAGAGGACTTTCAGATAGTCTCATGTAGAATGCATTGCAATAATTCACACATGATTGAGGCATGAGTGTCTGTCTGGAGAGCCTCTTAGCCCAGGAATGGGAGCAGCTGGCTTATAGGATGAAGCTGTGCAAAGCCTCTAGCTTTCGTAGCACTAGCTACTAATTGCTTTCAAGGAGGAGCTGTAAGTCTAGGAATGTTTCCAAATTGTGTGCTAATCCTGAATAGGGAAGAGCAGCCCTATTAATGACTAAAGAGCCTTCGTGTTGCAGTGGTTAGAATGCAGTATTGCAGGCCAACTCTGTCCACAGCCTGGAGTTCAATCCTAATGGGGTTCAGGGTTAACCCAGCCTTCCATCTTTCCGAGGTCGGTAAAATGAGGACCAGATTGTTGAGGACAATATGCTGACACTGTGTACCGCCCAGAGAGTGCTGTAAAGCATTATAGGGTGGTATATCAGTCTAAGTGCTATTGCTAAAGATGGACATTCTTTAAAATCAAGTGGTCTAGCTATCCACTTGAACAAATTGAATCTGTTCCTTCCCATCCAGACCCTTACAGTCTCCAGCCATTTGGGACAATAAATGAATCGGTATATAAAGACTAGATGATGGAATGGAATGGAACTAAACAGAGGCTACTTTTGCTTTCTGGTAAATTAATCTGTTTACCAGAAGATTCTTATTATAGCTATTACAGTTTTAACTCTGAGGGGAAAAAACTGAATTGTTGGTAAAATATCTGGAAAAACAGCATCCATCTGATGGTGAGAGAAGCATTGGAAACCCATCACTGTTGCAATTTTCAATATTGTAAGAAGGTATTTTCCCAGTTCAGGGTAAAGGAACATAAAGCCTCTCTCACAAGTCCTCTCCTTCCCCGACTTCTATTCTGTTCTGTATTGAAAGACAGTAGTGAAATGTTGCTGTCTTCGAACTTCTCCCACTTTATTGTTCTTTTTAAGGGATATTACAAAGTACCCCACTGTGCCAAGGCTTTTGTACTGCAAGCCCTTCAACACTGATGAACATTTACCCTGGCTGATTTCATAGTAGCTAACATGCAGAAGCCATATACCGAAACTGAAATTTAAGAGAAACCATTATGTGAAATGTTGGCAGCTTTCAACATTTCCCTAAGCCAGAGATCAAACACATAGTACAATGGTTCCTGTTATGTTTGGTTTTTGTTGGTTTACTCTGCTACTGTTTGCATTGGATTTTGTCCTGTGTCACTGCGTAAAAGTTAACAGGATGTGCCACATGATGTAGTGCAGCCATTTCTGTGTTGTTTGTGTATGCTATCTCAGTTCAATAGCACATATTCTGTGTATGTGGCAGGAGGATGAAAAACTTAGCTGTTACAAAAGGGCCTGTGCTGATTTGGGGCTCTTCAACATGGCCCAGTTATTTTGTTCTTACCAGCAACATCAGCAGAATAAAACTTCTTGTCCTCATCGATGATCCCAATTCTGCTACAAGCATAATGTTGGCAGATGATGGTGTCTTTATATATGGTGTACAAGATACAGTTGATGGATTCACCCTACGTCGTTTCCTCCTCCCCCCCCCAAAAAAAATCATCATCTGGTGAAAGAGTCATCCTTCCCTACAGGAATAAATATGAAGGAGGAGGTTGGTTGTGACAAAGAGCCAGACAGCAGGTTTAGCCTTCTTTCAAAATGTGCTGATGTTGTACAAGTGCTCAGGTGTGTTCAAAGAGAGCCTCACCATCAGCTGATATCAGCTAATGGTTCAGCTCTTTTGGACACAAATTTATGGCTATTCCAGAATAGCTCATTCAGGAATTATGCTAATCTTGTGTTCAAAAAAGCACGAGACCCATACTGTATTCAAAAGAAGTCTGAACAACAGTTGACAACAGTAATGAGATACGTTTCATCCTGCAGATTCACTGTGCAGCTCACTGCTGTCTTCACTGTAGATTTTCAGGGTTTTCCAAATGATCTAGCTCTCCAAGACCTCAAGAGCACACAGGAGAAAACTCAGTTAGAAAGAATTGGACTCTCCCACTGCTCTTATCAGAATGGCCTTGGAAGATAATTTCCAGGAACTGGAGAAGAGAGGGCATGTCTGCTTCAGGATCAGGTGGCCAATAGAGTCTGGATTAATTTTCTATTGATAAAATAAATATGGAGCTTTCTGGACCTAGCTTAAAGTGATATTAGCATACACAGCTTTGTGTTATATTGGACAGCTGGTGTCACAAATTGAGAGCCTTCAGGACCTTATTTCTAGTGGTGTTGCAATGATGCCCAGCTGTGCTAGGCAAACACTACTGTAATATGATAGCTGTGAAGAAATTGCAAACAGAAGTGTTTTAAGGTGCAGCCTTGAATCACAGTCTTGTGATTCATATTCAGTGTGCCCCTGAATCTCTATTTCAAATATGCCCACATTCCTTGCTTGTGACAGAGATCATAGGATTTCTGTTACTATGTAGTTTGCCTATCAGTATAACCATGTCATATTATAAAACTCATAAAAGACAAGAAGTGACAATCTAGATATGCTAGTTTATTTCTCACATTCCTAAACTAATACGTAATCATCTACTGTAAAATTACAAGGAAATTCTGTTTCGGATGTGAAAAGTCAATCATCTTTCTCAGAAAGAGGTTCAATTCTGCCTGTTCTCAAAGAATGATTTCCTCTGCTAAATTTGGAACTAAGAATTTGTCATGAAGTCTTTTTGTATGGTTAATCTTCGTTCCTCACTTCAGATAACAGCCTTCTCCTTTAAAGCTTTCCATGCAGATATCTTTATGTCTATATGTATGTCTGCATGCATATGTGAATTTATTTTTTAAATATATTTTATATATTGTAGACATTTATAATCTATTAATGAACTTCCCTGGGGAGTTTACAAAATTTAAAATGCAAATTAAAAATAAAGTGTTTTTTTAAAATGCTGTATCTTGTGTCTCCAGATGCATTCTTTGTTTGCTGTAATTTTCTCAAAAAAAAAAAAAAAAGTTTGTGAAGTAATGGTGGAACTAAAGCCAGTTATCTGCCTGTTATTTTTAGTGTTGTTATTTTTAAATGGGTCTAATATCTCTGTAACCTGAGGACTATAGTGATAATAGAGAGGAAATCCTCCATCCACTTCAATACCTCCACTTATTCACCCTAATTGAGTTTAATTGCTCTAACAGCATCATTATGGCACCTATCATTTGTTGGGGTGGGGTTTAATGAGAAATGAGCACTGCTGCAGTTCCTATACTGCAATTACCCTCCAGCCTAGGTGAACATATGTTGCTTTTTTGCTATATCTTTAAGCAAGTGATATCATGGGCTAAAGTACAGTACAAGAGCTACCCCAAATTATTCAATACATAAAACCATATTTTTTCTTCCAACCAGATATGGGGTAGGAAGCCTGTAGTCACTTTTTATGACCTTCTGAAGTATTAAGCTTGGCTGCTAAAAACTGATGGCACAGTTTCTTACTACAGTATCTTCATGTTGGAAACACAAGAATGGCATTGTAAAAGCTGTAAAATGGGTATATCAGAGTGAAAAATAGAAAAGAAACTCAAACTCCCCTATTAACAAAATTCAGACCTGACCCAAAATGTGCCTCCACTCAGTTTGCATTCCCTGGTTAATTGCCACTCTTGACCACCAAAGATGGCCTAGCCCTAAACTGTGGTTTGCTTTTGCCCATCAGGATCATGACACAATAGAGGTAGTCTTCAACTTACAACCAATTGCTTAACAACCATTCAAATTTATAACGGACCCCAACAAAAAGGTACCTACAACCCAGATTCAAAGTTCCAATGGACCCTCCCCCTCCCCTATGGTCATGTGATTGCATTTGGGGCACTTAGTAGCTGGCCCACATTTACAACCATTTGCACTGTCCCATAGTGTCACTTAACTGTGATTTATGATATTTTGGGCTGGAAACTGGCGCTTGCTTCTGGTTTCCAGCAGAAAAATGCCAATTGCAGACAATGGGTTTGCTTAATGATCACTGCAAAAAAAGCATGGTAAAATTGGGTTGGTCATGTGATGACCCACTTAACAACCTGCATGACTTCCAGGCTCCATTATGGTGGTAAGTCAGGACTATCTGTAGACAAGATTGCCTTGCCTTTATATTGTGTTTGTATTGCTTCAGGGGCTTTTTTTTTTTTTTTTTAAAGTAAAGCAGGATAAAATAAAATATATAAATAAATAAAATATTATATCTGAGATTATAATTTACAATAAGCTTTTTTATTAAATCATTTTAGGGATCACATTTATATAATATGAGGCCTTAGAATGGTGTGCAGTCCCTGAATACCTTGGTACAGCCTCTGACAGCCTTCCTTCTAGAATTTCTGGCTGAAATTACTTTTTTAAAAAGGCAGGTAAAACATTCAGGGCATTGTTCCTAGAACTCTGTGCATAGCTGTAGAGTAGCTTTGCTCTGGGTCATGTGATGGTGATGAGGGCTTAGAATGGATGTATATGGTGTAACACAAAGGAGCCTCTTCCATACTCGAGTTCATATTAGCTTCTTTAGTGTCTCACAAACATTTGTAGGTCCAGGAGAGATTTATGAGTAATCCAGGAGCAAGGAATGAAAGTAGTGGTTAGAACTATGGGTACATTCTTTCTTGTTTTCTGCAAAAAGAACAGCTCATACGGAAAAACCTCTGTATGCAATTGATGAACTTTGTGGTGTCATGATGGGGTTTGCTAAACTTGCCCTTTGTGCCTCTGAGGCACACCTACACATTTGAAAATGGATTCCCCCTTTTGTGTTCTCCATAACCACTCAGCAGCATTTCCTTTATTTGTTGTCAAATGATGTGTATTTATTTATGAATATATACATTACTTGATTAGCCCACTTTGCAGATCAGGGGAAGACCGACTGGGCCCACTAAAAACATAGTCTGTGTTCTATTTTCAGTAAATACAGGAACCAGATCAAAGCACAAAAACAGCTGTGGTCAGGTGTGTTTTGCATGGTGTTTGGTATTTACTGTTTTTGAAGCCGTTGGTGAGTTGCATGCTTGCCCTATGTAGAACTGATGTATCCTGAGTTCAACTGGCAGGATAATGTGGTTTGCCACAATCACATTGTTTTCACACGTATAGTTTGCCACAGAAATTGTTTATATCTTGCATACTGCCTGTTTTATTCCTTTTCACTCCCAGCTGCAGTTCTGCTTAGTGAACCTGGAATATGTCAGACAAAACAGTAGTTTTATTCTGATGAGGAGCAGTAGAGCAAGTAAAGTGAGATGTAAACATGTCATATGGAGACTGAAACTCCATTAAGTCTAGGCATAAGATAGCTACTCTCCATACTTTCGAAATGAACTCAGCACTACATCCATAAATGTTTCCATTACTCTAAAGAATCTAAAGCAAGCACCACTGACTTTAAAAAAAAAAAAAAAAGCCTGGTGATGCACTTAAAAAGAAAAGCAAAATGTTTGATCTCCAGGGACAACAGAAATATGTCTGATGATAAAGTAATATTATCAGTGATTGGGCCTGAATATTTTCTGTCTTCTTCCAATCCAGATAGTGATAAGTTGACAATAGGACAAAAATAGCATTTAAAAAAATGCATAATTTTGCTGCCAATTTTGTCAATGCAATCTAAATACCAGGTAATGAGATTTGGGAGCCACGTGCCAATTTGTTTTTTCAGATAATGGTCAGAGGACAGATTCCACAGCTGTTTGTTAGGATGCGATTTGCAGATTTTGCCTATAGAAATAGTTTGATTTGAAAATTACAGACAATATTAGTTCAACAATAAGCTATGTCCCCCGTTCCCCATTTACCCCATGGTACCCAACAACACAATCAGATAAGCTCTAAAGGAGCCCCCCCCCCCAAGCCTGCTGACAAAACTATATATTCAATGCCTTGTGGAAAAGGGAGGGAGCCACCACAGAGAAAGGCCTTTTTCTATGTCTAGATGTACCTTCCTGTTGTGGGACTTGCAACATGCCCTGGCTTCCTGTTCTGGTGGCCCAGTTAGATGTAATTGGGGAGAGGCCAATTGATCTAATGTATCTGCCAGTAACACTGAATTATACTCTCAGTTATTGAGATCAATTTTCACCCATTCTGAGTGAACACATCTGAAAGATACCAGCCAGGAAGTCTAAACTAGACATTACGAAAAAGAGAAGTGGGGCAGGGAAATGCAGAGACTTTAAATGACTACAACATTCTCTGTCCTTTTATATGGCATTGCTAATGATTACAATATGTAGGCATTCACCCATGAATAGACACTGAAACAAATATGTTATTTATTTTAATCTTTCCAATACTAATTCCTTCAAAAATAAAGGCTATAAAATGCAGTTGTACCCGCTATAGTCATTTTATCCATTTTTTTTCTTACTCTCTTTATGATAGGCAGCAGTGGCATATGGACTCCTAGATTTGCAAACATATTGCTTGGCCTTTATTGAGAAATATACACAGGTAAGAAGAGATAGACACTGAGATGACATGCAGAAAGGCCCAATACAATGCTTCCCATTCTAACCAAGACACTGGAGAATAAAGAGAATTTATATTTATATTAAATCAATGTAATTTTCTTTCCTATTGGGACCATGGGTATATATGTACAGATGTATGAATGTATGTATGAATATATATATATATACATTGATACTGCCCATCAGCAGTATTCAAGATTTGATCATCTCTCTACCTCAGAAAAGTTTTTTGTTCAATGGTGCAATAGGAAATGGTGGCAGTGAGTCTAGAAATGATGTTGGTGAGTAATGTAATGGGGAACTGGATTGCCCTCTATTTTTTCCACAGACGCTTCATCTTTATCTGAAGTTCTTCATCCTCATATTGTATTCTGTATCTCAGAGGTATACAGCATCTTTTTTTTTTCTGTAGGAAGTGATCCAAACACGTGGGTTCTTGGAATTGTCAGAACAGGCAATGCAAATTATTTTGCAGAGTGACAATTTGGCTATTGACGAGATGAAGCTGATCCATGCTGTACGAGAATGGGCTCATGTTGGGTCTGTAAGTACTGATAGCTTAGAGGGCGGGAAATGGGAAAAAGATTTAAGTTTTTTTTTTAATAAGCTTCATAGAACTAGAAATAATCCTCCTCAAATACTTTGCAGTAGTCAGTGATAGTAAAACAATATTATGATAATGATAGACTTGTTGAAATAACAGCAGAGATATGGTCATTAAATAAAATCAGTACAAGATGATGATAAGCTGGAGAATAAAAAACTAATAATCTTGTAATTCATGAAAAAGTATAATAAAAGAGGTTTTAGAACCCTCATACAGCCCAATAAGAAAATAACCAAAGATATTTACTTGAGACAATAATTCATAGTAGTTTTGTCACAGATACTCAGGGCCTACAGAAGATCTGGAGAATAAGGACTCTTGAAGACTCTCAGTACCATTTTTTTGAAACTAGCCCTTCTCTCCAAGTAAAACAATAGCCCTTGCAATAAAGGCCCCATATCCCCAATTCAGTTTTAGGTTGATACTATAAAATCTGTTACCATGAGCACTGACTGCATTCAATGCAGGAAATGCACTTTCTCTACATTGATGCTCCAGTATAGATTCCATCTCAAATCCAGATGAAAAACTGGATTAGAATGAATCCAAATGTTCTATTCTATAAAAATGTCTACAAATGAGAAGGCATCCCTCAGTTTAAAATCTTATATAAAAATAGCAGGTTAAGCTATGTTTTAAAAAATGGTTGTCATTGCCTCTTTTAAAACTATCGGAACTGCACCATCTCTTAATGCAGGGGTCCCCAACTCCCGGTCCATGGCTGGTACCGGGCCGCGGCATATTGGGGACCAAGCCGCACAAGTGCAGGCGAGCATGTGAAACTCCATTTCCGTAAGTGGCAGGTGCATGCACAAAACCATCCCCTCCCGCCGCTGCCAGTCTGCAGAACTGGAAAGGTTGGGGACCGCCGTCTGAATGGGACTTTTGCTGCAGTGTTTGTATAAACAGAATTTAATCCTGGGTAATTTCAAATGTCAGGATAAGCAATCATGAAAGAGTGCACTGCTCTCATCCGTTTCAGAGGCTTGTTAGCATCCTCAAGCTACAAAAGCTGCAATGCTGAAGGATATGCTGATATCCTTCAGGAAAACTGGTTCTGTGGTAACAGATCAGATGGTTCTTTGGCTATTTCTAATTCTATTGAAAATAATGGCATATAATAACTTTCAGCCAATAAATGGCATCTCTCACTTATTTTGGGTACATTGTAGAAGGGAAACCATGCTAATCAGAAGTCTGGCAGCACCATTTCTGACAAACACACTTTATTAAAAGGTATAAGCATTTGTGAACTGCAGCTCCTCCTGATCTTTTGCTATTTCAGATGTCTACAGTAAATGTTTTTTGTTCCAAGATTCCTATATTATATTGTAATTAGAGCAGGAATTGTAGGACCAACGAAGAGAATTGCTTTGAACTCCGGTATTGGGCTGAGAAATGGCAATTATAATAGTCAATAACAGTTCTGTCTTGCTATAGTTTATAGTTTATTATTTTCCGTCTTTATTATTTAAAGCCATTCAAACCTGTGCTGGCCCTGTACTCACTCCCTGCAGGCTGTGCTGGATAGGACTGTGCCCGATATGGCACGACCTGTGGTGCCACAGCTGCGTCTGGCTCTGCTGTCCCCAAGGGAGCTGACCTCTCTGGAAGAAGAGAACAAAAAAGACCAGATGATTCCGGTGAGGGTGGCTGTCAGCCTCCGTGCAGTTTCTGCATGCATTTGAGACCTGGCACATTGCCATTCAGTTTGTACAGGTTTTGTAATTTCCGTGGTTTGCGTGTTCTTACGTTGTAGTCCTGCTCCCGGAGGTGAATTAACTCGCACAAGATAGGGCCTCTGGTGGTCTCATCCACTTGATTGGAAATTCTATTTTAGAATATCCATCAAAGGATATTTTTTTAAAAAAATAAATAAATTGAAATACCCCCCCCCAAAAAAATAGATTGCAAAGGCAGAATGGTAGAAATTAATAGAGCCATTGCCATCTGTGTCAGAAGTTCACAGAACTTAACTGTGTGCTCAAAAGCTGTACAAAAATCTGATCATATTTGGGAAGGATGCCTTTGTAAAATGTTTTATAAAAACCATTTGTTAGGAAAACTGCATAGAAAAAAAAGAAAGAAAGAGAGAAGAGACGTTTAAAAAATCATGTTATAGTAACTGAAAATTTGGGGGATTGTTTTAAAAAAGAATCACACCGAAGAATTAAATGAAACAAATCAGTAAGATTTGAACCCCCACGGATCTGTTCAGTCTTGCTTAGAAAAACCAATCACAGCCCAAGTACAAACAAATCTGAAACAAAAAAAGTTAAGGAAACACTGGCCAAACAGTCTACTGGGATGGGACAGGCTCTGTTGCCATAATAGATTGCTTAACGACATTTTGTGGGGTGGTGAGCGTGTGCAATGGGAAAGATTCAATGGATTAATATCAGAGCCGACATGTCTGGCTGGCCACCCACTGAACAGGAACTATTCAAACTACAATCCTTTGTTGCATATCCCAGTTGTAAATAAGTAATCCCAACATTGTAGGGAAAAGCTTTGTGACTAAGAAAAGTATAACTAGTAATTGGCAGGGGATGGCCTCTTTGCCTTTGAGAAGAGAGAAAGGGATGCATCCATTTTCCATGGCGTCTCTGTAACATATTCTGAATGTGTTACCTATTAGGTTCCATTCCTATACAGCACCGGTTCAAGTATTCTGTAACTGTTTTGCCTCTTCCTAGGTAGAGAGTTTTGCTGAGGTCTGGAAAACCCATGCTCTGTGGAAGAGGCGTGGGATGCCATCCTCCTTGTGCCAGCGTCGGCGTGGCACATTGCCTCGAGTCCATCATCGCCACCTTGACCCACATCATAAATGACATGATATCCTTGGAATGAGGAGGAAACAGCACTTTTATGCCGAGGCAAGGGCCAGTTTGGTTTAGTGATTAAGGCACCAGGCTAGAAACCAGGAGACTATGAGTTCTAGTCCTGCCTTAGGCATGAAAGCCAACTGGATGACTTTGGGTCAATCACTCTTTCTCAGTGCAACCCACCTCACAGGGTTGTTGCTGTTGTGGGGAAAATAGGAGGAGGAATATCAGGTACATTCACTACCTTGAGTTAATTATAAAAAAAAACCCTCTCTTTGGTACGGGCTGCTGCTTTTGGGTTTCCCTTGGATGCTGTATCTACATAAACAGGACCAGAATTTGAGGGTAACCTCCTCTCCTTTGTATTATTTTCCAGGCTGTTCCTTTCACCCAAAATGAACAATTTACTTTTAATCATCAGAGAAGCTTTTCAGCTATTAATTCCTCTACTGTAACCCATTTGCTTCCATTTGCTATTTAAGATAGCACTGCCTTGTCTTCCTCACTATTTCTTCTGTTCCTTTTGAGCAAATAGCTATACTCCAGTCATAGGGCCCATCCCACCAGTTCTTTGTTGTATCTATTAAATATTTGCCTTCCTCTCTGAAGATCACTGTACAATCCTTTTGCAAACAGATGCCAAACATTTTAGAGCGATTACACTGGGGAGGGTGGTTTTGTAACAATCTGCACCCAAGTTGAAAATACCTGACCTCTTGATCAGACTACTGCCCTTACCCTTTATAAAAATAATTTGTTATACTTTAAATTGGAGTACACATATGTGTGTGTGTGTGTGTGTGTGTGTGTGTGTGTGTGTGTGTGTGTAATATCACTCATCTTCCTCCATTGCTTATCCAGAAGGAGAATCATGCAGAGAGAATTCCAAAATTTCTTTTAGCCTTCATAGAATTCTCCTCCTCCTCCTCCTCCTCCTCCTTCTCCAACAGCATGTTGTTGCTGTTATTCAATATGAATGGAATGGACTATACAAAAATGGACCCTTTTGTGTGGAACACCTAATGGTTTACATAAGCAGCACTGATAGCAATCTATTGGTTCATCATTGTGTGTGAGTTTTCTTTTTAAAGACCAAGATTTTTTTAAATGTGCCAATTTAGAAGCAACTTCCTTGCTGCATTGGCTCTTACAAACAGCTTTGTAGAGGTGTGCATACTGGTGGCTCAGGGTAACCTGGGCCAAGTAAATGACTTGCCCCAGCATTGTGCCATAAGAATTCAAAGTGAATCAGATCTGACTGTACTGTGGCTATTAACATAGCCTATCTGCTGTTCCAATCAAGTAAATGCCAGATACCCCAGCTGCTTTAGATCAAGATCCAGGCCCTGCCTAGATTTGTTTGTTTGAGTGCCTGGTTGCTAGGCAGGCCAATGACTTGGAGAATACAGAAGAAACCTCTCCTTCACCCTGTGGCAATATATTGAATCACCTGGTTCAGGCATTGCTAATATCAGCTTCTCCTCTGTGTGAAAATGAGAGTGGGAGTAGGATTAGCCAAGAGCGTATGGCTAACGCAGTTATGATCTAAAATAACAAATATTTTGCAAACAGGTAAACCAAGATCCACACTTCATGAGCATTATGTGACTTCTAAAAATGGTAAATGTAATTGTTTATGAGACGGAGGAATTTAGAACAGATTGAAGATATTAAGGAAGACGCAATAATCCCCTTCCCACTTCTAGGTCGCTACTGCCTTATGGCGCTGTATACTACGTTTTGTTTCTTGTCATGATTTGAATTTCAACTGCCCTGTCTCCATAGCTTTATTTGCCATGTTGGAAGTAGGTAGAAGATTCCTATTAGGCTGTGATATTTTATGCGTGATTCCAAAGCACTTGTATTTAATACTCAAAACAAACCTTAACAAATGCATTATTTAGAAAGCTAGGAGCACATAAGACCTTTCAAACATAAAAGTATTTGAAAGTACAATAAAACTATAGAATAGTTTCATATAGCTATTCAGAATTAAGTCCTTTTGTTAATAGACCATGTCTGTTCTAGTAGGCTATTCTCTGGTTGTCCAGCTGTGTTGTACAGCTACACCCTTTTATTTATTTAAATGGAAAATCCATTGAATTAATAAATGTGCTCCCATCTTGTTGTTTCTTACATCAATTATGCAAGTCAGGATACAATTGTATTTCCTTTTCCTATGTGTTCTGTTTTTAATTAATACTATAATGGATTAGGTGATTCCATTGGTAGGAGAGTTTGTCACTTCTACTCTCTCAACTGCTTCTTGAATCAAACTCAGCCTTCCTGAGTCTTGTTCCTCAGATTAATTGGCTTACAATAAACAACCTTCTTTACCAAGACGACCATTACCCAGATTGACCAGTGGGGATGATTGGATGTACAGTCTAAAACATCTGGAAGATATCAGGTTGTGGAAGGTGAGTCAAAGCTGACAGTCCCTCCTCATTGCCATTTGCTTCATGTGGCTTTACTCTAAGGCTGTTTAATTTTGTATGTTGCTTATTACAGCATTGGGAGGTTTTGGGGGGGGGACGTTTTTCTCATGTATGCAGCTGCTATGTAAAAATGGCTTTCTTATGCCTACACAATCCATAGCCAGTATGAATATAGGTAAAAGGTATAGATTTTCCCTGTCCTGTCATTTCCCACTCTGTTTCTTAGCTGAGAGAGCCAGCATTATCTGAAGACATTTCCATATGTATGAATGTAAATGTATGCAATTACATTTGAGAATATAAATTCCTTAGGAATTTCTCCACCCTCTCCTGCTTGGCAACATCAAATAATACACCTCTTGACTTTCAGCCACTCCTTATAGCACTTCAGGGACCAATTTATCCTCACTGCTGCATCTTTGAACTCAGCATCCACTGCATACCATCATTTCCCAGTAACCTTTAAACCAAACTTTTATTCAACCACTTTGTCCTCACCATCCACAGATCCCACAGATCTCACGTTTAGTGTAGCTTTATTCGCAGGAAGCACTTTCAACTGAACAAATCAATATAGTAGCTGATTTCTGAGAACACTAGTTTATTAGTGCTCACTCTCTCTTTTCATTATTTTTCTCCTCCACAGTTTCCATTGCTCCACAAAACAATAGGAGAAGCAAAAAAAAAAAAAAAGCCTTTGATTCATTATTGCCCTGTTCTATCAAGCTCATGAGATGCATTAGTCCAAAAATCCTGATAGCATAGCAAAGCTGCATTTGAAGACATTCCCCCAGAATGGGCATGAATCAGGGAGATAGAACAGTGGAGTAGTGTCAGGTAGTTAGGTTCTCCAGTGAGAAAGAAAATGCCCCAGAATGACCTCATTGGAGTTTCTTAGGAGACGTAGAGGAAGGAACCGAAATATTAGTTTTCAAGGAGCGGTGAGGAAGTGGAATTTTTAGTGCATTTTGCTGGTGCACTGATAGCCTTATACAGTAGGCAAAGATGTCAAGCAGACATGCAGTAAAATTGTCAGGTGGTACTTTGTTAAAAAAAAATAATCTGAAAGCAGAAACTTGTTTTGGCCTCACTGAGATTGAAAGATGCAAGGAACTGGATACACAGTATGTAAACGTTATCCAGGAAATGTTACCTTGATTCTGCTGAATAAGGTGATGCTCACAAAGTCCTTGTATCATGCTCAAATAACGGCCACTTCTAGAGTTGTCCACTGTGGCCTCAATTCTATCCACAAGGCTAATAAGCACTGTGACATAAAAGGAAACTGCCATTGTAGGGCAGTGTAGTTTATATAATCAGTTTCCTGATGTATGATTGGTTTTTAGCTGTACCAGTAGCATCTGTATGTGTATATTTTAAATCACTCTTGTATGCCACCTAGAGTCTTGTGAGATGGGTGGCCATATAATGTAGTAAGTAAGTAAGTACGTACATACATACATACATACATACATACATACATACATACATACATACCTAATGAAGTTAATGGGGTTCTCTATTTTTACTGGATGGAATTCTATGGAACATATATTTTCTTGTTTATTAATAAACCAGTCAAGCAATTTTCGATTACCTGCAGACTGAATAAATTTTACATTCTTAGAAGGCAACTTTTTACTCTTTTCCATATATTCAGTTTCTATTACTAGATTAGGGAGACTTAATACCAGACTTTTAAAGGATATGATATCACAAATTTGATTAGAAATCATTTTCTTATTTCTTCCTACTCCATGCTTATTCCTGTTCTTTGACAAAATCAGGAACTGAGAACCAGACTAACACAGAGAAAAAGAGAGATCAGCTGAGAAACAGTGCTTGGTTCAAAATTACCCACTGAGTTTCCGTGGAGATTCCCAGTCATCTAGGTCATAGTTATCTCAAAGGTGTTTTTTTTCCTCAAAAGGCAACTGGACTGGTTGTTTTTTTTCCTTTGAAGAAGAAGAAGGAAAAAACCCTCAAAGAAAAACAATCCAGTTGCCTTTTGAAGAAAAAAGCACTTTTGAGATATTCACTAAGTTTCATGACAATGGTCTCACATATAGATGGGTATGATTGGGTGAGATCTAGGTAGGCAGAAACAAGGGAGCTGAGGTCAATATGAAAGTTACGAAAAGCAAGACATCTGTTAAACCACAGAGTTCTTTGCTAGATACTAACTAGGTGTCTCAATTTTTGATTGCCCTTAGGTGGCCACTTTGGGGCAACACCTACTTTAAGTCAATTTACATTTTAAATTGAGAGAAGAATCATTTCATTACTTCTTTATCCTACCCATTTTATAAATTTGGTGGATATCACAATTCACTGGAATCTAATTTCATTGTATTAAATCCAAACTTTCATCACAACTTGTGACTTCAGCATCAAATCGTTCTCCTCCACCCCATCTTTTTTTCCCCCCAGATTCTGCCCAAGCCTCTACTGCTTTTCTGAAGATCTGGAAAGTTTTTATATTGTTATGCTCTTGGTTTTGCCTTAAAATAGATATTGCATTTAGCCAATACCAACTTGCTTTTACAGTATTTGTTTTGTTTCTTCTGCCCTCTAGTGGTAGAAGCAAATCCTCAAGCTTCCCTCATGTTCCTCCAGTTTTTTTTTCTTTGTACAATATTCTTGTACCTTACAATTGTGCCTTCTTGTGCCACCTGCTTTCTGCTTTTCTTTTGCCAGATCAAGCTGGCAAATCTCCTTAGGATTTCATACTTTATAAAACAGTACTTATCAATATCTTTCCTACAATACATCAAGGAAGCAAACAGGAACTCCGAAGTGACTATAATTGCTGATGGACCATGATCTTCTCAACTCTTTAATTAATTTCTTCCTGCAAATTAATTTGTCTCTCTTGAGCCCTTTTCCTGGTTGAGACTGTATATCAACCCTAACAGCAACCAGTTCAGAATCTCTGCAGGACTTCCAAACTACCGTAAGATAAATTCGTGGCTATTTGATAAGTTGCCCTATGGATGTCCTGGTTGATTGAAAAATATGAAACTGCCTTCCAGTGTTGATGCAATTCTATGTAGGTGTTTTTTTCTAACAAATAAACTCAGGAAGTCTACTCATCATAGTTGAAAATGCAGTAATTAGGTTAATGATCAGAGTGTAGTCAGTTTGGGATGCTTGATAACAATCTCAAGTAATTATTTGAGGAAAATCACCTAAGTACAAGAGTTTTAGTATCATCAGAGCTGTATTTCTCTATTTTTCAGATTACAAATGTAAGTGGAGTTAGTGCCTTGTATAATGAAAATTTAAACTAAAAACCTTTAAAAATTATTTGCACTGCAGCTGTGATGGGTGATGTTATTATAATGCATGTATATGTATGTATGTATTTTATAGAACACCTAAAGTTTTGGAGCATCTTACAGATCTCAAAATACAAACTTACAGTAACACGTGATTCAATGATGGAAAGAGGAAAGGAAGGGAAAGGAAAGGAGGATGTTGAAAGCACTAATTCTTTCTAAATATGCAAACATTATTTTCAGTTTCACTCTCACTTTATATTCTTTTTTAAACAGACTACTGTTGTATTGTACATGCAGGCATAGAAAACGTACTACTGATACCTGTAGATGGTGCTGCCTAGCCATGTTTTAAATGGAACATAGTCATTGATCAACCCTAGCAAAAGCCACAGAGAATTATTTCTGATTCCTCTGACCTGTACTGAGGGCTTTATAATCAAAGCTAATATTTTTCTTTTAGCCTTATTACGGGTATGACATTAACTCTTTTCCTGGATATGTGACAGATATGCCTGGGGGATGATGCCTGTTTCTGCCTTTCCTCTCCACTTCTCTGGGTTAACAGGGAATTGAAAACCCAATTTGTGCAAGCTTCTGGTCCTCTGGAGTTTTGTGATCCACCAAATATGTTTCTAACCACATTACAGGCCTTACTGAATTGCAAAAGAAGGGAGCAGATGCAGGGGGGAACATTGCCCTCAAGCTCTATGCATGTGTTTTGCAAGTGCACCTGGCTGTTATAGATCAGGGGAGAGATGACTGCTGCTTTGCCACTGCTGAATACTTTGTCCTATTCTTCTTTCATAACCATAAGCCACCATACTTCTTTTCTCTCACCTTTTCTACCCAGATGCTCTGCAAAGAGCCGAGGTTAGGCTAAGAGAAAGACTTGCTTGCAAGAGCCAGCTACAACTGGTTTGAGACTGCTCTCTGAGACAAAAATGGCATCATCTCCAAGCCCTAATACCAAGAAGCCATATGAATTGAGCCTCTTTTGCTGTGACATGTTGCTGCTGAAACTCCACAGATAAAGTTGGAGAATACTAAGTAATAAAAATAAAGAATTAGGTTCCAATCAACATGGGCCTGCAGAAGACTGATTTCCTAGGATTTCTAGAAAGCGCCACTGTAGTTAACGTTAGAAAGTGAGATTAGATATTTTAAAAGCAAAAGCAAAAGAAAGTATCAAGCCAGGTGAAAAGTGAGGGAATGATGATTAACAAGGAAACTGTCATTGAGTAATATAATCTGCCCAACATAGCTTCAAAGTTATTTTGCCTTATTCAGGAATATTTTTGTTTCACCTATCTTCAGTAAATGCATGCTACTTTCTAATATTCCATATTTTTACTAGAAGAAAGAAAAAAGATATTTTCCTCTGAAGAAGGTAAACTGGAAAGGAGCACGTGTGTATTGTTCTCTGACGGGAAATAAGAGATGGAAGAAACACCCAGCCCTATTTTTGTCATTGGGGCTTTTCACCATATCACCTCATCCTGAGTTTTCCTTATGGTCATTTGTCTAGTTTTCTGTACCAGCTTGCTCCTATTTATATTGCTATTACAAATATTTATATTTATCCTCAGAATGTCTTGGGAAAGTGTGACAGCTGCCAGCATCTTATACACATCCAGTGGATTTTTAAAAACATTATTTGTAAACATATTCTTAAGTGCAGATCTAATCAGTAATCAAATGCCAGACCTATTTACATTTTGGAAAATGCATTGCTGCTTTCTTGTTTGCAGCTGTGATTGCTGCTCTTTTGTTCTGGGCAAATGAACCATATGGTCAAAGAGGGGTCTAATGATAAGCCACTGGCCCAGCTTCACTTAGTACAGCCTCCCCAGATGGTTGTGACTGGTTAACTACTATTTCCAAAGAACAAATTGTCAATTGATTTTGTAGCCATCTTAAAGCAATTTTTCCCATGCTAGGGCCACACAGGGAGGCAGCAGCCCTTCCCATCCCCTTAAAGATGAAGCAGATGGCTGAGTTTAAGGATTGCCTGGAAAGATTTGAAGTGGGTAAGGGAGAGGCTATCCTCAAGAACCAGGGAGACCTAGCAGAGTAACACCAGGGAGGTCTGAGCTAGGAATGTTGTTTATGATCTGCTCAACTATAGCACACCAATACAAGTGTAGGGGAAATCCCAGGAGTAGGTGCATTCTGATTTCTCGTATTTACTGAAAGAGGGTGGGATCTGTGTTCAGCCAGCAAAAGAGAGAAGAGTTAGATGCCTTTTTGCAAGAAGCTTCTAGATCAGTGGTTCTCAACCTGTGAGTTGGGACCCCGTTTGGGGTCGAACGACCATTTCACGGGGGTCGCCAAACAACGCAGTCTGCCATTTCCCCCCCCCCCCTTTTCCTTAGCTGTGCTACTCCCTTTTATTTTATTGGCTTTTGAAAGCCAATAGAATAGACTCTCTTGAATAGAGTCTAATTCTATTGGCTTTCAAAAGCCAATAGGAATTGTCCAGGCTGTCTCTGCCCTGCTGAGCCTGCCAAAAGTCCCATTCTGCAAACGGTGCTGCACCAGTTGAGTAGTCCTCGACTTACGACCGGTTGGAGTTGCGGCATTAAAAAGGTTGAGAACCACTGTTCTACATGGACATCTTCTACCAATCATTGTGCTTACTATTTTTTCTTTCCCTCTTCAACAACTTTACAGCAGTTTTAAAAAAGATGAAGGATGACAATACCTGGGAAAAAAAGATGAAGGATGACAATACCTGGAATCCCCTCCCACAAAAGCCTCTGGAAATGCCCTAAAGATCTAAAATCCTTACTCATTATTTTGAACACCTGAATTAGAGTACTTACAGCGGTGGTCATTCATCCTTTCTTATCCATATATTTCTTGGAAAAATACATGCTCGGCATTACAAGATAAAATAGAAAGACCTGCACATGGATTAGATAACAAACAAAAAGTATACAGGTATCATCAAGAGAGTAAAAAAATTGAAATGAAAATGGCCTGGTCACATAGCAAGAAGAACTGATGGTAGGTGGACCAAGGCAGTCACAGAATGGATCCCACCTGATAAAAAGCATCCACGAAAGAGACCTAAAACAAGATGGATCGACAACATCAACAAGTATTGTGGGCCCAGTTGGCAAAAGAAAGCTCAGGACCATACCTGTATTAGTATAATCTCTAAATGTCATGGCACCATGAAAAAGATAACTAAATTTGTGAGAGCTAATAGCTTTTATATATATTTAGTGTATTGTTAAAATGTGGAATTGTATCTATTGATCTAAGAAACTGCATGAATATGAAATGGAAGAGTCTCTAGTTCCCTGAACTCCAAGAAAGTTTATCTAACTTTGGCCATTAAATTTCACTTTTGTTCATACTGCAGGGAAGGGAGTTCCAAAGGACATTAATCATAATGTGAAACCTACCTTAGTTCATTTGGAACTTAATATCTATGTCTTCAGGATAGATAAGCAGTACTCAATGATATTTTTGATAGGAAGGATTTTGTCTTCTTGGTAACCTTTTTACAGAAGTGGAATTTGGAGAATTTCTCGTTTTTATTTCAGTCTTTCTTTTTCTTTTCAATACTAATCCTTGGAAGTACAACCCACATAGCTCATTAGAATTGACTTCTAAATAAGTATGCTTGAAATTCCTGCATGCTTTTCTCTTTCTCCTCAAGCCATGTTTGGTGTTAATTATGTTTTTCAAGTAAATCCAATAATCTTTTTGGCAAACATTGAGATAGGGGTGGGATCTAGCCATTAAATGATCCACAGATCTTGCCAACACTGGCAAGATTTATGCAAACCATGATTATGTTTCTTTCATGTTGTGACAGCATTCTGTTTTGGATCTGGCTGAAAAATGTGGCATCCTCCTCCCCTCCCTCACACAGAGACAAACACACATTCAGCATGGAATCTCATTCAAAGCCCCGAGAAAACTATTGTTCTTCCATCTCCAGACAAGATAGAAGCTCAGGATCTCACTCTGCTACTTGACATAATCAGGCATATCAGCCGATGATCAGTGATTGACTGACGGCTTTGATAAGGCTGCTATAGCAAGGGTGGGTACCCACCAGCTGAATGAGTCACCATGTTCAAGATGTGTTTTTTTAAAAAACTCTCCCCATCCTGCTGCCTGTACTGTCATTTCACATACTGTGAAAGATGGTAATTATGAACATCTTTAGATTTGATTCTTCCTCCTTAAATCCCCTCCCTCATGCATGCGCACACCCCCACGTACATATACACACACAGGCAGCATGAGGCATTCCCATGATAATCATCTGGTAGACTGGAGCACTGTGAGGAAGTCAGCTGGTTTGTGGGTGAGACACCCTAGAGCGTCTGGCTTTGCTAAGGCTTCCAGTTCTGTTCAGACAGGGAGTAAGCAGCTCTGAAGTCAAACGCTGGGTGAGAGGGGAGGGGTGGGGAGGATGATGTGGTCTTCCTCTTCCACTAGAAAGCCACCCACGGTGTGATCCCAAGAACATGTCTGCACATTTGTGCACGCCCTCAGAGGTACATAGGTCTTCAGCCTCTAGGAAGTATACACACACCCAGAGCAAATTTGAGTTATTTCCTCTGAAGGCTACAATGGGTAATTATAATGTTCACAAGAGAAATAATAGTAGTTATAATAATGTGTTTTGCCTTGTCCTCGTCTTTGATTACAGCATCCTATCTTTTAATTCTCTCTTTAATTCTTTCCTTTTTAAACTTATCCTCTGAAAAAGTTAGGAGAGTCAAAGAATGAGGCACTCAAATATAGCTTCCAGTCCCTTCTTTGGCCCAAGAGAATATTTTTATTAGTATTGTGATTAAATTCTTTTCTAATATACTTTTTTGGTTAATGATTTAATGGGTTATAATGTTTTCAGTGCAATTGCCTGCTGAGCATCTTCTTCAGAAGCAGGTGAGCAAAACTGGGTCCAAAACTACCAAGGCCCCTGATTGGCAGCTATTTTTCTTTACAAGGGGTGAACTAGAAATGTTTCCTGGGCCAGCAAGGCCCCAGGAATGAATTGGAAGCAAACAAGCCCGAAGATAAAGCGGTAGGCGGGTGTTTTCCTGCCTCAGTTGGTAACTGTTTCCCTAATAGAAAAACATACTTGAGGAGGGGGTTGAAGGCTCTAATTAGGAGGATGAGGATTAGAACAGTGAAAAGGATGCTTCTTTCTCTCTCTGACATATGTATGGATCCCTGGGTTAATAGAAACAAAGGGCTTTGGGGGACTGGAGAGAGAGTCTGCATGGGAGGGAGGCTATCGTCTCTCTCACCGATGCAGCTCAACTACTACTTCTGCCCATTATCAACTCAAGAGAGGATGGCCTCATTTAGCAATGGGGATTAGCTGAGCAGGCAACACTGCTTGGATCCAGCAGAACAATAATCAGCCATCAGTAAACCTGGGAGTGTCTGACAGGGGGGTCCACAGCCTCCATTACCTTCACTTGCTCGTTGCTTTCATGGTGTCATCTCTCAAGGGTCAGCAGATGGCAGCATCTGGTCAGTCTTGCTTTGCTTGGAGGGTAATCAGGATTGGACTGGTGAGTATTTAGATGGGAAACCTCCAAGGAATTCCAGAGGAATAGGCTAGTTTGGAAAATTGATCAAACATCCTCGAAGAAATCAGTGGCCAAGAAAACTGCATGGAAATTTTCCCCAGAAACAAAATTTGATCCAAGGACATCTTGAGTTATCTGTATAGAAATTTATGAAAATTAAGAATGGGGGGGGGGGCTAAGGCTAACGTTGCTTCTGCACTAGATGCATTGTGGCATCACAATTTTTTATTCACACATTTTATGGAATTTTTTCATGTTATTATCATCTGTTGGTAACCCTCCTGTGGTTTTTGAGGACCCTGGTGAGCTTGGAAGTGATGCAATAAGCACAGATTCAGCATAACTCTTTACGGCGACATCATTTCATAACAAATTATCTTTCAGAATAGTATTAAGTTTTATCTGCGATTGGATAAGTAGAGCTGTACTTCAGTAATTTAACTGAAATATTGTCAGGGTAATTTTAAATAACTGCTAGTCTTTATGTGTAAATTTTGAGACAAAGAAAAAAAAGC